AAGTACTACAGGATTGACAAACTAGCCTCGGCAGAAGTAGCATTTGACAGTAGAGTGCTCCTTCAGGCCCTGTAGGCACTGGAAGTTGTGTGACCCACTGAGGGGAGCACTGTTTTTTAATGTCCCAGGAGTAAGGAGTCAAGGACTGCCCCACTCCTTGACCACCGGAGAATGGAAGATTTGTATTCACTTACCGTGAAGCTTCCTTCTCGGTGGTCCAGAGTGGGGCAGTCCTACCCACCCTCTCTTGATGGACACGACTTCCTGTCCTTTAGGTTTTGCAGTGGTTCAGTTGTTCATGAATATGGTCTAACTGATTACGTGATGTGGTGGACTGTTGCTGTTTGCTCTAATGGTTAAAATACAGGTTTGTATTTGGTTAAGCCCATGGCTGTGATGGTATTCCCCAGTTGTCTGAGGGGGAAGGAGTTATTTTTTAAGTGAATTTACAGCAGCTCGGAGGTGGCTTTTGGTATGACTGGGGATCACAGGATAAGCCCCTCCCCTCTGGGATCAAAGTTTGCCGGCCCTGCCTACGGAAGGGGGAGGTGCTTTCCAGGAGTAAGGAGTCAAGGACTGCCCCACTCTGGACCACCGAGAAGGAAGCTTCACGATAAGTGAATACAAATCTTCCATTTTACCAGTACTGCTGTTGGAATAGTTCTGCGTATGTCCACCTTCAGCAATGCTTGAGGGTTATTTCACTAGGCTTCTAATGAATTTTTGGAAATACAAAATATGGGGATAAAGGGGAGTTTCCAGAGATGGGAACACACACACACACACACCCCGGTGTATTTATTTTGCACACCACTTGCAATCTATTCAAAGCTGTTTCATTCACCTTTGGTGCCATTCAGAAAAAATGAGCTTTTTTTGAACTGATCTCAGCTAATCAGGAATCACATAGGCCACATAATAGCATCACATTGTCATAAATCCAGATAAGACTGAAGGCAGAAGCATTTCCCTTCCTCCGAACAGTCTTCTGACATGTAGCAAATCATGTTTGGCTGCAGAGTATCACAATGTGCTGACATTGCTTACTGACCTCAGTCTGCATGGGCAAATTGTTCTGTATCACCCTGACCCTGGAAAACTCACCTAAACAAAAAGGTTAAGTTTTGGAGTAGCAGAGTTCATTGTGAAATATATTCCATGCCCACGTTGGCTCAGCTGTACATTTCACACATTATACAGAAATAAACCTCAGTTTGCCAGCCAAGGAGCTCTGAATGAGCTCTTGGTAACTGCATAAAACTGTGAATTGGCCACGAATGACAGGAGTGGACCTGCATTCTCTTTGACCGTGCTTCAGCAGTAATAACTGAAGTGGAACTTTTAAAAGTGGGTCATAATAGACTAGGGGGGAAAAACCCTCTCTCAATATGACTGTGTCCCAGTTCATCAGCAGTGCCATGTCTCTTATGCTGGGTGGCCGTGTATGCAGCTTGCCCCCCCCCCCCAAACTTATCATTGTTAT